TATATCCCTGATCATATTCAGAATATTTATTTACGCAGTATGTCATTTAATCTAGAAATGCACACAGGCTGCGTGTTTGACTGCAATCACGTGATCTGGTACATAACTAATTGCACGCGTTATCCAATATTCTACTTGTGAAATCACAATCTGTACTTACCACATCGCCATCTGTTTCGCACACGCAGCATATTAAAGTAAAAACCGTGGCTTGTTGTGGGTTTACACACACGTGGTTCTCGGGTAGTTACACTTTTTATTCAGCACATAGGAGACAGACTGTTACACTCCCTTGAATACCACTCATATGCCCACTGTGCAGTAATTCATCATTAAAAACATCTCTCACTGGGTAAGATAAAAAAGAAGATGACATGATGTAGTTACTATGTGTATGGGTGCATTTTGTTACAGCGTAATTGTCAATTGTCTCATCGGATTGTTTCTACCTCAAGATACAAATGGTGTATCATTTTACATTTTATATTCAATCTACCGCCCTGTCGGCTAAAACTGTAAATTGCATGGTTCGTCACCAAGGCTATAATTCGCATTATTGGTCACGTGTAAATTAACCAATGAATGTATAGATGATACGAGTCTTACCCAAAATGTCTCGTAAATAACATGCATTGTAATTCACATATTTTTCCTTTGTTGAACCTGATTAAGTGGCATTATGACACAAAAAGCATATATCGAAAATAACATTATAGTGTATGTGTATGGTGGTTGTATTCACATAGTTTCTGATGAGGAGTAGTTATCACAGACCAATTAACTGTCCCTGTACAAATATATTATTAGTGGGAATAATACTTATACTTTGAATGTACTTACATTATAATGAGTTTGGCTATATTACTCACTGCATGATGTCATGGCAACCATGGTTATCATGTTTCCTATCAAACAATCACTTAGTTGCTTGGTAACACTTATGATCCCACCTTGCGCAGAGACAAACACAGATAACGTTTACACTTTGGTAAGAAAACAGTGAGGGACACTCTAAAGTAGAACAACATAAAACAAACTGAACAGATTGCATTAAAACATGTCAAACCATCTGAGTTGATGTCATGCTAATCCAAGTCAACATATTGTAATGGATATCATCAAATACATAAAAGAGAAGGTCGAAATCTACATGGCATATGACATAATTACGTCATACCTAACGAATGAACCGTCACGACATAGTTACTGTCAATCCATACGAGATTTTGTTGAGGTCGAACTCTTATGTCATTTACTAATTTTATCACGTGATATGCATGGGACGCAAACAACGTGATTCGAATCGCATTACCATATGAATTTTAGTTGAGATTGTTTAAATAAAATATATATACAATTTATGTATA